TAATAAAGTATGGGTTGGTTTTTAGAAACAACAGTTGAATTTTTAATCTTACCTTTTACCTCGTCGCAACTTGTAGAACTTTTATAGTATTAATATTCACAACTCTTAACACTGGCTCACTATCACACCAAGTCTTTTGGGGTACACGTCCTACCTCGGAGCACTCCACAAAACAACTGACTGCCGGCGCGCAGTGCAACAACCGAATGGCGTGCTACCCCCACTACTTGTGTGTATGAGACAGTGTATTGAATCTATTTAATAGACACAAACACTACAGTTGGGAATTAAAAATAAGTTATTAAATGCGATAATATCCTTGAATATAGTTTCATTCAATACAAAACCTCTTCTTTGACAAGAAATTTATTTGAAAGTTGTAATTAGAAAGATGGTCCTTGTATTTACATAAAGTTCTCTCAAATGTTGATTTAACTGTTGTTTTTGTTGAAAAATTTATTAATTGAAATAAGTAGGAACATAATTTGCTGTGCATTTCCATATAAAATAAATGAATTAGGTTTCACAAATGTTTGTAATGATGAAAGATAAGTAATAATATTATATAAATTCTAGTACTTGGGTGACCGAGCTTTACTCGCTTTTAATTAAAGATTTTATGCAATTAGTTTAATTAAAATTTTCGCATTTTTAAAAAATACTAAAAAAAGGGCTCTAAATAAAAAATAGAACTTGAAAAAAAAGAAAAAAAAGTCGGACCGAAGACAGGACGCGAACCAAGGCATTACGATTTCGCGACCGCTCGATATCCACTTGAGCTATTATGATCATTAACTCAATGTTATTTACCTTCTTATACTGTAGCAGTTTTTCATTGCCTGAAAACACGGACAAAAAGATATTTTCGAAAAATAAATCCTAGCTAGATCGATTTATTGCCCCCGAAACTCCCTGGACACAAAATTTTATGAAAATCGTTGGAGCCTTTTCCGAGATTCCGATTTTATATATATACAAGAATTGCTCGTTTAAAGGTATAGGATATGTGGTAGAGCCATGCTGCAGTTATATTAGTACAATACGGCCGACGTATCTTGGCGAGTCTGAATATAGGCTCTGCGAAGTTTAGCGCATGAACACTCGTGAAGAAAACTGTTATTGTCATTTTTTTATATATACCAATGTACAAATAAAATTTCCCTAATACAGTGACCAAAAATATCAAAACACTTTGGAGACATTATAAATTAAAGATTCAATTTTGATACCTCACCTTTCGATAGGGGCAGATTTTATCACAAACACATACAATATTATTTACATTTAATACTTTTTATTTATTTACACTTATTATTATTTAATCACTGTCGCTGAGGGGGGAAATTCCTAACATAAAGTCGTCGGCCCCTTGTGTACCATGTGAGGTACTTGGCATAGGTTCATCTTCGTAATCGTCGCTCTCACTTTCAGACTCACTTTCTGAATCTGAAGCTGTATTAATGATGAATAATTGATCCGTCATTTCGTCAATAATATGGTCGCTCTTCCTATAGTCATGTTCGACCTCTTGCACTTTTCTGCATAAAGCACTCCATTCATTCTGACCCATTAAATTTACTTTTTCTTGTATGAGCTCCATTGTCCGGGTTACGTTCCAGTCGACGTTTTTAGCGGCTACGTGCCCTTTAATGGCAGCCCACACCATCTCGATGGGGTTTAAATCGGGATGATATGGGGGTAAACGAAGGACATCGTGGTTGTTTTGTTTAAACATTTCATCTATTACGTATTTTTTATTCACGTCTTTGTTTTTTTTTATTAGATCGTAAAGTTGTGGTTTACGCATGTCCTTTTCATATGGTATACCCTTTTCTAATAACCACGATTCCATTTTTGCCTTCTTGTCATTAGATGTAGGGGCAGGATCCATTAATTTGTTGTGGTACGGAGCATTATCGATAACCACCACCGAGTTAGGGCTCAAATTTGGAATCAGTTGGGTCCGTAACCATTTCTCATAATTTTTGAAATTCATGTCATCATGATAGTCTCCGGTTTTGCTGCCAGATTTGAACATTAGTAGCGCGTTCGGAACAAACCCTGCTTCTGACCCAACGTGTACCATCACTATCCGCTGACCTTTTGATATCGGGCGCTTTAGTCCTTGAGCGGAACCATCTGACCACGCCTTACCTTTTGTATGTGATGAGTGGGCATACGACTCGTCAGTGAATACAATTGGTCGCCCTTCGTCCCTGTATTTTTTCATTGCCTTCAAGTACAAGATCCTTTTCAGGCGAATGTCGGTCTTCTCTATAAGAACCATTCTATTGGTTTCGGTCTTTCGCCACTTGAAACCCAAGTTTTTGATAATTGTCTTTAAGCTCGTTTTACCACCTTGAAAATTTATATCCCGTTTGAGTTTCGCTAGTAATTTGTTTATCGTCGGCATTTCTTTTTCAGTTTTGTGGAAGTTGTGTATGCATCTTTTTACTACTCCCTGGTCAAAATTATCCATATCAGTAATAGGTTTTGATCTAGACCTTTTTTTACCAGGCGTGCGGAATACTGAAAGTAAGCCCGAAATATTGCCTTCAGTTGCGATCCGCTGTACTGTGCGTTGGGACACACCAGTTGCGTTAGCAACTCTTAAATAAACTTTATCGACATCTTTTACGCCTTCTTCTTTTTCTTTTTTCATATATTGCGTTAAATCGTAAATAATTTTTCTCGCCTGGCGATTTAACACACTGTTATGTTTTGGTGGCATGTTTGGCGAATAATATAAGTGCTAACTGACACTTGCAAATAAAACAAATAAAACAAACAAAACAAACTTAACACTATTAATAAAAACAAACAACAATAACAACGAAAACTTTTGTAACCGACTGTGCTCAAGACAGAGATAGCGACACGAACACGACACCAATGCTAACGTGTGACTGAGAAATATTACCGTGTACCGAGCATTGCCGAATAAGCACGAAGCTTTACGAAGTAACCAGAAAGGGATGTCCAACACGCGTGCCTGAGGGTGTTGTTTAATCGATTTTTATTCAAATCGATTAAAATTAAGACATAAAAATATATTTATTTGCAATTTATAAGGAGGTTCTAAATTTTCTCAAATAGTCGTTACTCAAGAAGACGTTAATAGATAATTGATATTTAAGTACATTATGTCTTTCAGCTGAGAAAATAATATGTTTTTAGTTTTTTTTTTTATTTAAGTCGAAATCTTGTTTATTATCAACAAAATCACTATATTTGTAAATCTATTTCGTTTAATATCTTATATAAACAAAAATCAATAACTTCTAAATAAAACTAATCGATTGCGATATTTTATGACTAAAGGGTCGATTGTGTTTACTTATGGTCAATCTCTAGCCTAGACCACCGCCCCCCGTACGTCGCCTCATGCCACCATTTTGTTCCTTAAATAAAACCGGCCAAGAGCGTGTCGGGCCACGCTCAGTGCAGGGTTCCGTAGTTTCCCGTCCGTCACAATAACAGTTCCCACTTATGAGTTTAAAGGTGGGTATCCATTATGTTCGCGCTCCAGCAGCCGCTCCGCGCTCCTGCAACTGCTCCCGGTAGTGGGTACGTGCGCGAACATGGAGCGTGCAACATTGCACGCTCCGCGACAGGCGATGCCAAGAAGAGATCAACCGAACAATTCGATAATACCCGACCCAATGTAATAAGTACCTACAGCGCCATCTCTCGGGGAATTGGGTTACTAATTAATACATAGACGTGCCAGAAGTTTTCGGTGGTAATTTTGGATAATTTTTTAATAATTCTTTTTTGTTTGAAAAAAGATACGTTCAGGATAATAAAATATGTAAACGAAGTTAAAAAAAATGCCTGCTTAAACGATTATACTACAAACTTAGTCCAGAAATTATTTTGTACAACTTTTTGTCTTTTTTTGTACAAAAACTGTTTCCATCCAGGTTCAAAATAATTTTCCTAGAAAGTCCTTATAAAGTTCTACCTTTCAGATTTTTTTTCATATTTTCTAAACCTATGGTTCAAAAGTTAGAGGGGGGGGACACATTGTTTTTTACTTTTGGAGCGATTATTTCTGAAATTATTGACATTATCAAAAAATGATTTTAGTAAACCCCTATTCATTTTTAAATACCTTTCCAACAATATATCACACGTAAGAGTTGAAATTAAAAAAAAAATCACTTCCCACTTTACATATAGGGGGACTACCCTAATAAAACATTTTTTTCCAATTTTTATTTTACCACTTTGTCGGCGTGATTGATACACATATTGGTACCAAATTTCAGCTTTCTAGTGCTAACGGTCACAGAGATTAAGCGAGGACGGACAGACGGACAGACAGACATGGCGAAACTATAAGGGTTCCTAGTTGACTACGGAACCCTAAAAAGCTATTGCGCAACCTTCTGCGCGAAGGTCGGACTCGCCAAGATACGTCGGCCGTATTGTAGTATAGTTGTAGTATGAATGGGTCGGCTCGACTGGGGAAGGACCGAATCACAGAATACCAGCGTAAAATAATAGCTTAATGCTGCTGTGTTTCGTGTGGTGAGTGTAGAGAACCGGAGACCCTTATTACTGGGAACGAGGCATTCCATCTTAGTCACGGGTGACAACGTATCTGCATTTCGATTTGTAATCGAGAATAGATGTAGATGTCTATGGGCCGCAGCAACCACTTACCATCAGGTAGACTGTGTGCTCGCTCGTTTGTCACCCTATCCTAAAAAAAAGTCGAGTTTCAAAAAGTGCTTGAGCCAATTGTAAGCTATTGATGTGTCTAAGTCAATGGCTCAGGGCTGTTTTTTGACATTCGTTTAAGAAAGTCTATGCTCACAAGGGGACTTGTGGAGGGCTGTAATGATAATGATGATGAACCAGTTGTTTAACAAAAATCACATATAGTAAATTTCATCCACTCCTCTATCATTAGGTATGCTGTATCTATATTATTTTATTACTTATTTTATATTTTTAATCACTACTCCCTTTAGACACTAAAATATACAACATACCTTAAGTTTGTAGAGGTCTGGTTTATTTTTCCAAGTACTCTCGATAATAGCTCTGCTTCAGTTTGTTTTACATCTCCACCCATTGCTTGAGCAACTTCTTCTGCTGCTTTAGTAAGGTTCTGTTCTAAAATATTGAATATGTAACTTTAAAATTAAAAAAATATAGTCAATTATCAAATGATGAAATAAGTATTTAAAATAACCAAGCTACCTAGGAAACTGTGTTATCTAATTATTTATAAGTAATTACTGAAAACAATTGTCATCTCAGGCACAACAGTTATTCAGAGAAATCTAATACATCTATTTGCTTCGACTGATGTAACAAGGGTACATGATTCAATTTACTTGATCAGCAGATCTAATATTTTGAGAATAAATTTGTTGTGAATGAAGTTTTAACCTAAATTGTGATGATCAAGTATGATTTACTAGTTTACCACATATTTAGTAGCAGGGGTGCTAACATTTTCCAAATCTTATTAAAAAAAGTGTTAATTATCATCACTTTTCATACAAATATCTTTATAATGGTAGTACAAATTACTATTACCTTGTTACCTTAAAGATCAATGTTATCAGTTCATGGCAAGTATTAAAAAATAATTTTAAATAATGAAATATATTGTTAATGAAGAAACCACAGAAGATGAAATCATCAACACTAGTTAAATTGTAAGAGGTAATCTAACACCCCTTTAACAAATGCTTGTCATCATTGAAATATTTCTTTACTAAATGTGTTTCTTAACATGGAAAAAGGAAAAAGGCAAAAAACAAACTTCTATGGCCACCAACTGTTACCAAAAAAAAAACTATAGGTTCAAATAAGTAAGAAGAGTATAAAACTAAAAGGACACCACTCAGCACTTACTACAATATTATGGTATGTTTCAGGGTTAAGTTGAATTGTGCAGTATGTAGCGATCAAAAACTAATAAGCTAGTGCTTGAGTTAAGGTACATTTGTAATATAATATTGCAATGTTAATTATTATCATTATAATAGAAAAAAATGTTTTTATTTTAAAACCTATAAAAGTAATGCATTATTTTTAATTTATAATGAAGGTAAAATTAGGTAGTCAATTCATTATGTGACCAATTCCAATAAGTGTAAATGTAATTGGTTTACTGTAACAACTCTAACAATTTGCCTGAATTGTTGTATTTAGACAATTTAGATAAACCAGAAAAGTAAACTGAGAAATTAAATTTCTTATCCAACACCGAGTAAAACTTGGAGCTGAGGTACTTGTGTAAATAATAGTAACATCATCATCATGAATAATCAGCCATCACAGCTTGACATATCAGAATTTTTCTTATTTAATAGATGATCTTTCATGTTTAATTTTAAAAGATATTTACAGGTTATGAATTTTTAATAAGCGGTAGGTAATTATTCCAAAATTTTTGGGGTTCTATTTATCAATATGAATAGCTTCATAATCCTCTCAGAAAAAAAGATGTGCCCAGCTGTAGATAGCATTTTTGCGACAGGAAGCCATCATTCTGTAGCACTGTAGTAGTAGTAGTAAGAGTATATAAAAGTACACACACGTGTAATAATTTTTTTTAATACAGCCTATATACGTCCCACTGCTGGGCACAGGCCTCCCCTTATTTCTCCTCAAGTGTAATAATAATCCTACATGATCAAATTTATTAATACAATAAAGAGAGTCTTATATCATCATTCGTTTGTTTAACTCCTCTCCTAACATTCGCCCTACATGGCGACCCTGCCGAAGTAATTCGCGACGCGAATATGACACCCTCCCGCCGTATTTGGAGTGTAACATTTTTTCTGTGTGCAACTGATGAACTAAATCAAGCTATGGCGTTCTGTATATGCAACTGTGTACATGTGTTTAACAAAATGTTAACGAAAAATAACATCCAAGATAAGGCGAAGGCGGTAAACAGAATAAAGAAGAGACCGTAATTGTGCAAAACGCAGTGGGAAGCAATAAGGCAGGAGTTGAACAATTGCAATTTTACCTGACTACAAGTAATATTTTACTGTCTATCATTGTGCTAGTATTTCTACTGGGGTCCCTATATTGCTTGTATTGGACATATAGGCGATGTCATATAAAGTGGATTAACACAGAGATAAACAGAAATACCCTAAGAAGGTCTATTTTTCGGCAACCACAACCCCCCACAAATGTGGAAGAGGCAAGTCAACCAAGGGCGTATTATAAAGTATGACCGGCGCTGATCGACGTTTAAATGTGGCGTTTACGTGCAAATAAAATGAGTAAAAAGTGCGTGTCTATAGAGCAAAAAAAGGGTATTGTGTTTATAAATCAACTACATTAATTTGGGACTCTCGGCTCTATTACTGAACTATATATTTTAAATTAAATCATGTATTAATTGTACTGTCTTTAATCATCATTTAACCGTATTATTATTATATTAAATATTTTGTAAAATTATTTATAGTATACTGTTAGCGACGACAAAGTGAATTCGAACATTTAATCTTAATTATTTTCTTATCAGTGATTTAAAACTGAGTGATAGTATTTAATCTTAATTGTTTCCTATTCGTAAAATAAAGCTAAGTGTAAAGACTGATTAGTGCTGAAAACGGGAAAGTAAATTAAACACTTCTATTCTTATCTTAAAGTAACTTATATGAATCTATTTAATATTATTTAGGTCTGATTAGAACATTAGACGCAAGTATAAGCTTATTTTCTAGTAAGATTTCTTTTATCATAACTTTAAGAGCTATTAACACATAGGTGATTAATGTAATTCTTTTTACTTTAAAGTAATTCAAAAGAAACATTAATATGTCAATTAATCACTATACAATGTCATTTCATTATGAGAAAGATTTAAATTTTATGAAAAAATATTGTATAGATTCTTAAGCATTAATCCTGAAAAAAAAGTGTTGTACATTCCTACCTCTTGGCGGCGCTACTTGTATGTTCGGCAAAAAATACTATCCTACTCCGGAGCTAAACCGTGAAGCGACCGCGAAGCTATTTTTATTTTTTATAAGTGTAAAATAAAGGTTTATTGAATAATTTAGGTTTAGAATAATAGAAATAAGTTGTATCTATCACTAGGAATAAATATAAATATTGTAAGATATGTTTTACCACGTTTATTAAGGAAATTGTAAATCCCTCTTAGAAAGGGTTATTCTGTGCTCTGATTGGTCAATAGATTCACTAATGCCGTGTGCGATTTTTTCTTAATTACGATTGGTTACAGCCGCTTATAAAAAAAGGGGCGTTTTTCGTGGTAAAACATTCCAAATCCGGCAATGTAAGGGCATTTTTTTATTTTGTTGTCGATATGGATTTTCCCGTGTCCCAAAAGTACATACAACATTTTTATAAGATTTAAATATTTTTTTGTGGAAACTATATTTTGATCTTAAATTAGATATTATAGGCACCCAAAATATGTTTCAATATGCTATCATATTTGTTTTTTCTCAAAACAACAGGGCTTTATATGTGAGCAAATAGCTGTTTTAACCGTGTCCTCCTAGAAATCGAACATATTGAAGTTCAATTTTTAAGATTATTTTTCACTATCGGGTATGCCTATTTATAGTTTAAAACCTGTAAAATATAGTTCTTAGTCAAGTTTTTATGCTTAAATTACCACAAAGAAAACACACGTATAGTAAAAATTCAATTAAATACGTCGACATAAAATGCACCGCAATGGAAAGTCCTATTGAGTTACGTACTTTTTTCCATATTTCATCAAAAATTTCGATGCAACATTTTATTTTTATGAACTTACAACACTTAAGAAGACGTGGCATGATGCCATTGTGAATGTATAAATGGCGTCAGTGTGCATGACAGCGCCCGAGAGAAGAGGACGTGTCAGGCGTTACATTTTGTTATCCATTGAATTACGGTATTTTCTGTGGTAAGTGCAATGTTTTATGCAGTGTTTAGATATTATTTAGTTATGCAATCTGTGAATTTCAAATATGTTAACTATTAAGTTAAATTTATTTAAAAAATCGAAAATGTTTAGCATATTACTTAGTTACGGCAAAATCGTTACGTTCCGTTGAGAAATTTTGTAACTCAACGGATCAAAATGTAACTCAATGCAAGGCTAAAGTTACGTTCATATTGTTATTTTTCCAGTATCCTTATAATATTGGCAATATTATATCGATTTTAATAATATTATAAATATTCATATATTAATACTTATAATATTATTATAGTGTACGAATATAGTGATAATATTAACTAGTGCAAGTAATTTAAGTAATATGTATTTTTTTATTATTTGCAAAACATTTTTTCTCGGTTTTGCCTTTATCCACACGGCCATTAGATTTCATTTTAGTCCAAATTTTATTTTGCTTTTGACTATTTTGTACTGTTTGAAATTAATGATTATAATACATTGTTGTAGGGATAAAATGGCTATGACTGCAGCAGAACGAATGAAAAAATATAGGGAAAGGTTAAAACAGAATCCGGAAAAGTATAATAATGTTAAAAAGAAGCATACAGAATATGTCAAATCTAAAACTAAAAAAATTAACGAACTAACGGAGAAAGATAAAGAAAAACAACGAAAGATATGGCGAAATCAGAAACGCAAGCAGACAATTAAAAAAAAGGAACTTCAAATAATAGAAAAGGAAAACATAGACAATACCACACCAAAGAAGAAATGTCAAAATAAATTATTCAGAAAATATAAGGCGGCTCTGAAAAAAATAGAAACTTTAATGAGAACTGTAAGTACATACAAGAAACGCTTATATCGTCAAAAACAAGACACAGATAGAAAAGTTAAGGAACTTGAAGAAAAAATATTAAAGTTACAAGCAAGAGAGGAGATATTAGAAGCAACATTAAAAAAATCCTACATGGGATGCAAAACCATAAAAGAAAAACGTAATATCAAGAAAATTGTTCTTGACAACATTGTTCAACATTCCATTAACAAAACTTTTGTTTCCAAATTATTAGGCCTAAGAGGTCTGGCAAGAATTAAACTCCAAAGCGGAATGCAGACTAAAATCAGAAAAGTAATAGAAACATTTTATATAAGAGACGACGTGAGTAGGATGACAGCAGGGAAAAAGCAATGCCGTACAATGAATAAAGAA